GATTTGGTGGCAGCTTTTCTCAACAAGATCGAGGAGCTTCTCCAAATTTGTCGCCCACGAGTTCAAGATGTCATTGCTGTCCTTTGTCGTTTGGAAACAGACAACTCCCATTGGCCGGTCTATCTTTGCCACCAGGGACTTGGAAACAACCATTTCAGAGAGATGCTTCTCAGCTTCCTAAAATGGCAATATAGAACTAACAGGTCATGCCGATAGAATATCATTCAAGCTTGTACAATTATCGCTATATGGTCTCTCTATCAGATGATACTGTTGATTTAACAGATCGAGGCATGTGAATGATTAGAGCTCTCTAAAACAGTGGTAACAGAACCTCAAAAATGGAGCTCTATTCCTTGAGGGTTACGCTACATAGATTTTTTTAACACATTAAGAAAGCGGTTACAGTGAGATATAATTGTGTCAAGCAGGAAATGGTGAGTGTCAATACTAGCAGAAAAGCTAGCCCAGCTACTTTAGCATATACAGCAGAGCTCCTCCCACCCTTCTAAAGGGTATCAGAATGTAAGGATCCATGGGACAAAAAACGGTTTCACAATGCCAGACAATGACACTTATAGCTATGCCAAATTTATGAACAGAACTTGACTAAGCTGAGTATACACATATGTCAGTCGGAAATGCTGACGGAACAAAACTACGAAGACAACATTCTCAATTCCATGACAAGCCTTTGGCTTTCAAGGCACCAAAACCTCTTTTCCCCTTTTTTCGAACTAGTACACAAATCCAGCAACCATGCCCCAATCAGGGATCACAGGCAGAGAGGCTGCTCAGGGTTAAATGAGGGGTCTAGCCAATCATCCATAAAGAATGACATTGATAAAAAAATATAGACCAATTTTTAACACAATCAGACCTGGATGCTGAGGCATAGAAGCTCTGCGAGTCTCTGCAATGTGATCCTCGAGTAATACTTCGAAACGACAATAATATTCTGCAGAAAATAGAGAGAGTCACACCTGGACGATGATCCAATGAAAAGAAGAAAAACAACAAAGTTCTGTAGTTACATGTTCGATGATTCTCTCCCGAAGATCTTCTGCTGCCTTCTCAACAAGTGCGCCTCCAAGCATGTTTTTCTCATTCTCAAATTCATCTTTGAAAGTATTCCAAAGAGCAGTCCATTGAATAACCTCCATTGTGACCAACTGTTTCAGCAGCAGCCTGTGATAAAATATCAAAGGCACTGTCAACCATATTCTATGGCACATTATTGAGATATTGAAAGATGTACAACCAATTACCCAAAGCAAATCAAAGATGTACCTGAATTGGGGAATTTCTGAGAGATTTTTATCTTCTAAAGTGGCATTGAGAAGGCTTGACTGCATTGGATCATGTGGTGCCAGAACTAAGTACCAGCAAATTTTCCTTAGAACCTGCATTTAATTATTTCACAGAATGAACAGCTGTCCTTTAAAAAACTCAGCGAAGTCTTAACAAAGCCTTATTGGAAAGAGCTTCACCGGAATCCACTGCTCTGGGTTTCCCTTCACTGATGGAATCTCATATATCGCCTTATAGCATCGACAAATCTCGAGGTAATCATTGTTATGTGAGTAATACCTACATCATTAACCACATGAATGCAAGGTAAACTGAGATGTGTAACTCAAATCCATCAAGGAAGAAGAGTATGTGCCAGATAAATAAAGCAATATAAGTTCATGCTTTGAACTGCAACCAGAGTGGCAGGTAGTGCTTGATTGGCGAAAAGTTTTAGTTAAAAAATATTGGACCCACAATTATTAAAAGCAAAACACCAACATACCGTATCATGTGTTCATAGTATATCCGTTTCAACTCCAGAAGCGACGGAATATCAGCTGGCGCTTCTTCCACAATATTTTCACCTTCTTTAGGCTTTTTCTTCTCTTTGGAAGGATCTGATTCAAAGACTCGGGGGCTGATCTTCCTGGAAAGGATCTGTGCACGGACATAATCCTGGCGATCTAAGCACAAACGAACCTGCAAAATCCATCGATCAGAAAACCAATCATAGTAATAGTGCATAATCAGCCAAAAGATACACAGAAAACCCATACTTGTTCAAGGATGAAAGCAATTTTCTCCGTCTTTGCCATTGCTCCAAAAGTTTCTACCTGCAATTCAAAACCATCATAATGTTGGACAAAGAAGAACAAATTACAAGATCTATGATCACAGAAGTTAACTTCTACTTACCGCAATTTCTTGCATCAAATCAGCAGCTTCTGCTATAAGACCCTGTTCTTCCTTTAGTTTTGCAAGTTTCTTGATCAATCGTGCTCTCTCAATCTCAACATATATCTGCATAACAAAACTAGCTATAGAAACCACGAAACACAAAACAGATTGCTCATGAAAAGAAGCTGCAATAGAGTTTGAGTTCCATATTCACCTTCCCAGCAGCGACAGAGTTAAGTGTCTTAATAAGCTCTATCTTGGTCTCCAGATCAGGTGTCTGGTCAATATATTGCATAGCCTGCTGTACCATAGCTGTCACAGCCTGTTTATAAGAAAATAGGAACGCATATGTCACCATCCAATGACTTGATCATGTTTAGAGACAGAGAAAAATTTGAGTTCAACTATTTGATTAACAGCAAGGATATTTTTCCATTCTAGAAAGAAAGTGTAGTAAAAATAGGAACCAATAGCAAGGTGCAATACAAATTTCAGGTATCTCGATCGAGAGCATCCCATCCAATAGAAAACTTGCAAACAGCACAAACACAAAAATATCCCCATAAAGGACATATCATGAAATATATCCTGAACTTGACATGAAAAAAAAGGTATGATCATACATTAGTAGGAGAACAAGAAGAAGCAAAATGATGGGAAGGAATCCAAAAACACAAGGTGTGAAACTGAAAAAGATTCCACAATACTAGAATCTAGAGCACGAGCACCAGGCCTGACTTCTTGCATCTCTAGAGATTGCCTAGAGCCAATACCCATATAGATATGCCAACGACATTCGTTTTTCAGATATTCATACACAGTTGGCACGTGACAGCCACACAAAACGACAGTTCAAGATTAAATCAGTATACATATGGGAGGTAATCCCTGCGGTACAAGTCCATATCAGTATAATCCTTAAGGTAAAGGTTGTCACGATAAATATCGAATAATAGAATTTGGACTATACTTTGGATTAATGATCATAAGACTCTACACAAAAGTAAGGTCTAAAGATAGATCCTTGACTCCTTTCTGTACAAACACCTGTATGTTATCTTAAAAAAGAGGGAATGAAGCTCAAAAGTAGAAAACAAAAGCACAAGCATCACTACAACAGAAGCGCATCACTGAAGAAGCTCTCGTACCTCTCAAGAGTTTACTAGAGAAGCATCTGGGGAAAAAGTAAAGAAGAGAACAAAACAAAAGCAAAACCAGATGATGGCAGTGAAAAGAAGAAGATTGGAGGATGAAAGAAAGAGACAAACTAAAGAGCAATATGCTATGACAAGAAGAATTCCCTCCCCAGCCAGAAGAGATGGTTGCTGTACAAAGATGATGGCATTGTGCTGCACTGCCATTTGTGGAGGCACAGCAGACCTCCTATTTACCCCAACACAAGCTCGCATGAAAGTGGATCCCATTTCCAACTCCAACAATTAAAGGTTATTGCTTATTCCTGCCAAAAGCTTATGGACTCTCACAAGTCTGTATAGAAAGTATCTTCAGCCTAGCCACAAGCGCCAGTTAAATCCTCTATCGGGCTACCCAATCTAATTCAGGATGAGCGCAACACTTTATTCTCATTTAACTTTAGACATACAATGTGTCACGCGCAATCAGAACTTGGGCCTAATTTGAGTATTATGAGGTTAAGTCCTAATTAAATAGGCAAATATCCCATTCTACATCCGATGATCCTACTCAGGATCTCGACTGGGAACGATTTTCGATGTGACCACTTTCCATCTTTTTAATTGCATTGTACACAGATACAAATCCTAGAAACAATGTTCAAGGTAAAAAAAATTGTGTTTGCACAATTAATAGCCACTGGTCATAATGCTCTGACTAATATAGAGTAACTTATCAGCATTCAGCACAGCATACCAACAAAATAACATCAATGAAGAGCGAAAATTCCACCAGCTTATCGCCCAAAGCAGACATGAAAAGGCAAATATATGGACATAGGCTATTAAACAACCCAATTCACTCCTGACTAGGTAGTGTATTCTTTCTCACATACTTCTGTTACAGAAAAGTTTGGAGCAACTAAATAAACGAAAAACCAATTTAACACATATGAATATCCAAGCATCAGTGTCATCAAATAATTTTGACTCCTTTAATATCACTTGAAGAGGAACACAAAGAGTGCTTTGAGCTAGGAAGACAAAAGTTCATGCCCCACGAACTTGGTAGACGACCAAACACAATAATCCTAGCTCCTGCTTCTATGATATTTCTTTCCCACCAGTAAACCTAACACATGCTGTGTTCATGCAAGGGAGATACTCCACAGCAAACCCTGCAAACCCTCATTGCAATGGATAGGTACAACCCATACTCATAGTTCATCTTTAATTGATCAAATATTAGTTTGTCTACGTGTAGACAAACATCAATCCCTTGATCAGTATTTTGAATCACTCCTATAGCACCCAATCTCAATTTCTTTTCTCCCAGGTTTCATTGTTAAGTAAAAGATATATTAACTAAGGCAGTAAGGAAGTACCAATCCATCTACAACAAAAAGAATCCATCCCTATACAAGATTATTCAAATCCTAAAACAAAATTACTACTCTAGAACAAAAACAAAGAGTAGCACCAACTACCCACTTCACTAAACCCTAAAAAGATGACAAAGCAAAATAAAACTACTTAACTTGAACAATGTGCCTTTTCTCTTTGTTATCATAGACTAAGGATAACTATTTTTCAATCCTTCACTCACACGTGTTATACTTCAATTCCAAAGGGAGTGTCCATCTTGCAAAAGTACAAGTTCAAACTATTTTGCTAGTAACTGCCTACAAATTAGCGTCCTTGATAGGATACAACATCACAGGATTTCATGTTGACTTGATGGATTGGGAGATATTTAGCCATAGCTAATCTTGAATAAGAGTTTCCGTTAAGATACCAAGTAAACTTTCAACAACTTCTACCTATTGAGTTTCCTGTCTCCTGTAATTTTTTTGTTTTGGGAGCAAGCGACAACGCTAAGTGGTTATGATGGAAACTCACTTTCTACTACTCAGGTGCTCAAGACTCGCTGATATTAAGCAGTTTCACTTCAAAAGTAAACACAAGTACCCTGCCGGAAAGGATATCACAAGGCTAACCCTTTGCTGTCCACCCATTCTTTGTTTAACACAGGTGCAACATTAAACTTCCACAGGAATATAAACCCCAAGCTTCCTTCATTAAAGAGCTCCAAAAGCACATCTTCTTATCAATTCTTCCAAATCTCCCCAACTTGAATAATTTGTTACCCGTGAGAAGTTTACTTCAAATGATAATGCAAGAAGGAGGTGTCCGACCCAAAAAAGAAATATCATTTACAAGATGGTGCATCCGCAAACTCAACAATGTGACACACATTCAATATTGATGGGTACTAAACCAAACAAGTTCAGGTGCAAAACACTAAGAACCCACTTAATTAGTTGCCCAATGCCATCACCTAGGACCACTACGTACGCCAGCAATCGACCAGCTAATTACTTGCCGCAAGGCTCAAACCCAGAAAACCCGCAGCTCGAGAAGCGGGATCCAAATTTCATAATTTAAGCAAGGGCAAAAAGATCACAACCAGAAATAAGTAAGAACGAAGCCCCTTTTTTCTCTTTCACCTGCTTGAGCTGGCCGCGCCGCTTGGACAGCAGAACAATCTGGTCGTTCAGGGTCTTCCACGCCTTGGCGTCGAGGCACAGCTGCAAGATCTCCGTGACCGCCTTCTTCGTGCCGGCGACGTCGCCGGCCAGCCTCATCTGCTTCTCCACGTTGAGCAGCTGCTCTATGGCGGCCTCCAAGTTGCCTCCGCCCTCCTGCCACGCCCACACGAACCCCGGCATAATAAGGAATCGGACAAACCGCAGGACACGACGATTCAATCGAAAAAACAAGCGGAAAGAAAGCTTATAGATGGACGTAGATCCGAAGGCAGGGAGGGCGAACTGACCATGGCAATCTGGTTCTGGAAATCGGCAGGAGCCCTCCGGCGACGGATCGATTCCGGAGCCCTAGGTGAGAGAAAGAGCGGTCGGTGAACCCTCGCTCACGAAACCTTTCTCCTCCTCTCTCTTCTTCTTCTGCTTCTTCTGTTTCTCTCTCTTCTTCTTCCTTCTCTTTGAGCGCACTGACTGACGCGAGAGGAAAATTAAATTATAAAAAAAAAGGAGAAAAAGAAAAAGAAAAAGAAAGAGTTCGGGGGGGAATTAATAGGAAAAAACGGAAGCGAATCTCGGATCCGGATCGGGATTGGCCCGACCCGGTCCTCGGAGAAGATGCGATGGCGGGTAAGGATACGGCCCGAAACTTCGCCAAGACGGCCCAGCGAGCCAGGGAATTACGTGGGCTGTGGACCGGGCCATCTTTTAAATGGAGATGAAATTTCCTTTCCTTGAGGGCGATTGGTGGGCCGCAAACATCGACACCATTCGCATTTATGTTTAGTCGATTTTGCACGTGGATGGTGTCGGCAATGTGTAATTCCACCGATCAAAAGGGTGGTTAGAATTTTAGGGCGCACATGATCACCATTCTGTTTTTCTACTTTTCTGTGTTTCCAGGAACATGTTTGGAATAGAAATCCGTTTTGACAACGCAATTTCATTTTTTGTATTTCTAGAGCAGATTTTAATTTCGAAAACAGGTTTGAAATAGAAATGAAAAGTAAACATTTTCTAACTTTTCTATTTCTGGAAGAGAAATGAGAAATAGAAGTTCTGCTCATCGCTTGGTGTCGACTAACATCTTCCCTATTTCTGGTATTCAACTGAAAGAAAGAAATTCATACCAAAAGCCAAGAAGTAGCGGACTAAATCAGTAACCATTCCCGACAAGCTTTGATCGGAGATGGGTCGATTTTGTGTCCTTCAACTAGGAAATGTTGCAGGCTTCTTGCACAATCTTGTGTGTATCTTCAAGACTACCGTTGGCGTGATTTATCTGTGGAATTCGCGAAGAGCATATAATGGTGTGATGCTGCACTGACCTTCTCTCTTCATGAGAGTCGTTTTCTAGTGGTTCGTCTATCATGAATGTAACTTTCATGTCGGGGCAGATGTTTATGTACTGAGGTAACACGCTGAAACATAGTTTTCTAGCTCTTGAGGTTCAGACTCTTGGTATGAACAAGCTCACCCGATTCTCGAATGGCATCAACCAAAAAGGCTCTTCCGAGTCCCGATGCTTCTCTTTTCTTCGGGAAGACTCACAATTGCCCCGATCCCTTTCTTTGCAGGCAATCGTGCGAGTTATCCGTGGACTTCACGAAGAGCAATTATAGGATCAGCGTGGTGCAACGCCGATCTCTTCTCATCGTGTGAGTCGTTTCCAATGGTTCGTATGTCATGAATGTATTTTGCATGTCTGAGTCGATGTTCGTGTATAGATGTTGAGCTTACACACTAAAACATAGTTTTCTAAGCTGTTTAGACACTTGGTACAAACAAATTCGGCTGATTCTCGGATGACATCAACCCAAAATAGTTTTCTGAGTCACGGCTCTTCTCTTTTCTTTGGAAAGACTAAAGAAATGCAAATGGTTTGAGCTTAACGGTGCTGCGTTCATTCCCATCCCATCCCGCAACCCGATTGGGCAACATTTTAGAATCGACTAATTTCGCTCCATCAAGAGACGGATGTGAATGCGTCATTCTGACAGAGAATGAACGATTCGCACCTGCTTCCTTCATTTTCTATCACAGTCTCGCTAACCAACCACTCAAAAAGTATTGTACTAAGTCGAAGGGACAAAGCTAGTGACTCCCTACACAGTCCATGTGCATCGTTCGCGACATTTGCTTACCACCTATGTTTGCGCTCGAAAACCGCACCTTCGACAAAGAAGAGAAAGCATGGAGATCTAAGGGCGACCTCGACCTGAAATTATAACACAAGCCCGGCCAAAATGGCTAACACAAAAAATCAGTCTTAGTTCTCGCAGTTGCAACTGCAATTTTTTCGAGAGTAAAGGCAACATAATTATACAATGGGAGATTCTGCAGGATGAAGGATCCATTCTTGGCACCACAATGAGCTTTGACTGCGCGAGCCAATACGCCCTTTCTCATCTGGGCGCTCTTTGAATAGGAATCAGATACTCGCTTATCATAGTTGTTAAGCACTTTGCTCTGACCAGTCCATTCTAACTGCAATCGATCTTCGAGCTTCAGTGGCCAAAAAATCAATCTAGAGCTGCGCTCTTTAATGCCGATGATCTTCCATTATTTTTGCAGTGTTCAATACAAGGTCACACAATGTTGCTTACGTGTCAAAGGATGACAACGACAACCGCAATGCTGCTTCTCCGTTCATCACCCTCACCGAGGGACCGGCCACCTTTTCTGTCGCCACAGCCGGCAAGTATTACTCACATCTACACCTTTGCTAATGGTGACCATTGCTCACAGGGCCAAAATTTGGTCAGTGAAACTTCCACTGGCCCGACCTCCTGTCCAGCCGGATCCCTGTCACTACCAGCCCCAACCACACCATCACCATCTCCGCCACCACCGGGAAGTGGTGCGTCATCTCTCGGTGTCACACTGCTAGTCCTGTTCATGTCCATTACCGCAAGCTTAATTTATAAGTGCATAATACATGAGGATCGTTGTTTCTACTAGATACAGGTGGACTATAGGTAGACTGTGAGATATTGCTACTTGTCATAAAGTGAATAAACTCGTTAAAAGGCTTCTTCTCACAATTCTAGCATGATTTATATAGATAACATTTCTCAAACTTGTAATATAGTTCAATTTTTTTTTTGGAAACATATATGGTTTCCCTCTGAAAATTTGAAACTCAGATCTATTCGCATATCATGAAGACCAAGATTATCAAAAAAAAGTAAAAAAGAAAAAGAAAGAAAGCAACAGGAGACATAAACTTGCATACTAGAAAGTTGAAACAGAACATCCCTCACCGGAACAAAATCTTCATTGCAGTAGCGAAAAAATCCCAGCAATGGAATGACTAATGAGCAAAGAGGAGTAAATCACGTAGCGATTAGAGAAACAAAGTGAATCTTCTTAGGATCAAACTCAACACACAAACAGTTCATCGAGAATTTGAAATGACATTGAAACAACGAACTCATACCCTTGGAGCTTGAAAGAACCCGGCAAATTTTGGGGATTGGGAGCGCCATAAATCCATCTGTATTGATCTCTCTCCTTTGCCTAAGTGTTTTTATACTCTGCCTCCACAAGCTTCCTTAATAATTCATGTGTTAATCATTTTATTAATTTGAGCAGTCATAAAAGAACAGACAAAAGAGAGAGTTGCAGTTGAATTATACCAGAATGATGAAAACCCAATTCAAGCAGTCAGGAAAAGCAAGCACTATCACGTCATTCTTGAATGTAGGATTTGAAAAACTATTTACTTCTCATGAATAATTGATATGCTAATGAGGACTTCAAGAATAACTTTTAAATGTATCTTACGATGATTGATGTAATTTCCAAAGCATTGAACGGCACAAATAACGAGAAAAGTTACTACATTGAGAATCACTCATTTTCTTTGTCTCACTTATGCTAAGTAAGTTTAACGGTCGCATTGTTTAAAAAACATGACAAATTCATTTACTTTGTGAAGAAAGTAAAATGGTGCTTTTTGCTTAGTGGGCATAACTATTTCCACAGCAAAAAGATGTAGGGCGCGCATGGAATCTATTCCGGAGCAGAATTTCTGTTCCAGAATGTATTCCGGAACAGAATGACGTTTGTTAAAAAATTTCCGGAATGCATTCTGGAGAAATTTTTGCATTCTGGAACAAAAATGCGTTTGGTAAAAACGCATTCTTTTTTTAGCTCCGGAATGTATTCTTGATTCCAGAATGAGTTTTGGCCCAAAATTCTGGAGCTATTTTTTTTAGCTTCTCTCATTCTGGAAGCGATTTCTTTCTTGTCTCCAAAAATTCCTAAAAATTAGAAAATTTGGGAAATTCCTAAAAATCTAAAAAAAATTCAGAAAATCCATAAAAATTGAAAAATTCCAGAAAAATTCATAAAAATTTCCAGAAAATAAAAAAAAGTCAGATTTCGGGAAAATAGAAAATTTATTAAATTTTTTCCAAAAAATCTCGAAAATTCAAAACTTCACAGAATGGCTTAAAATACAAGTAACCACCCACTTTGAGTGAAATTTAATTTTTTTGAGGTATCCAAAAAAAATCAAAAAATTCAAAAAATTCAAAATTTCACAGAATGGCCAAGAATACTTGTGGCCACCCACTTTGAGTAAAATTTAAATTTTTTGATGTGCCAAAAAAAATCAAAAAATTCAAAACTTCACAAAATAGCTTAAAATACATGTGGCCACCCATTTTGAGTGAAATTTAAATATTTTGAGGTGCCCAAAAAAATAAAAAAAATAAAAAATAAAAAATTTCAAAACTTCACAAAATGGCTTAGAATACCTCTGTGGCCACCTACTTTGAGTGAAATTTAAATTTTTTGATGTGCCCAAAAAAAATCAAAAAAATCAAAAATTTCAAAACTTCACAGAATGGCTTCTAATACCTGTGGCCACCCACTTTGAGTAAAATTTAAATTTTTTGAGGTGCCCAAAAAAATAAAAAATATAAAAAATTTCAAAACTTCACAAAATGACTTAGAATACCTGTGGCCACCCACTTTGAGTGAAATTTAAATATTTTGAAGTGCCCAAAAAAATCAAAAATTTCAAAACTTCACAAAATGGCTTATAATACATGTGGCCACCCACTTTGAGTAAAATTTAAATTTTTTTAGGTGAAAAAAAAATCAACAAATCAAAACAGATTTTTGTTCCATAAATCAATTTCTGGAGTAGAATTAGTTATGTTTTACCAAACAGATTTCTCCTCCAGAAATCAATCTCTGGCAAGAATTCCAGAAATCAATTTCTGGCAAGAATTTGATTTCTGGAGCAGAATGGTTACCATTCGCACCCGTAGTGGCCACAGCTTTTCCCAATTTTTTCAGTTTCCATGAAGAGAATGAAGGAGTTGGAAATTTATAGGACAAGGTCCATTCCGTATCAGGTATCAACTTGGAGAAAAATCACGTCCTTTGAGGAAATAAAAAGTGCAGTTATTTTATTGAAATGAAGCTCCCTAGAAACAGGTGCTCATTTCGAATGTGAAATGAAATGGAAAAGTAGCATTCATTAAGCCTTTAATCTGGAGAGCTAATGTTATCTCCGACGTTAGAAAAACACAAGCACCAGCAATATTTGTCATGCGAAACACAATTCCGTAACAAGGTGCTTATTTTAGTCCAAATGAGTGCACATCTCGTGCTGCGACTGTTCCATTGGTACAAGTTCTGGACCCTGAAAGCCCACAAATCTTCAATTAAAAGGAGGGGGGAAAGAGGAAACAAGAAAGATGAAAAGACCAAACTACATTCCTATACAGATAGTGTATTCAATATATCATTTCAGTCCGAAACAAGGCCCGCATCTGGTCACCCTGCAAAATATGCAATCAAATTTAAGACGGGTACGTAAGAGTTCCATGGTGAATATCTCCGGTCCCCACTTCAGACCACAATGTGAAACAGCATTCTTCGGTAAGAGAGAGAGAGAGAGGGAGGCTCAAGGGGAGAGAGATCATTCATTCAACTAAAAACATCTTCAAGCTCTCAAAGCAGCCTTATGAGCCGTGGTTTCCTTGGGGATTTGGTGGCAACTTTTCTTGACAAGGTCGAGCAGCTTTTCCAAATTTGTCACCCGAGTTCAATATCTCATTGCTGTCCTTTATCATTTGGAAACTGACAATTCCCATTGGTCAGTCTATCTTTGCCACCAGGGACTTGGAAACAACCATTAAGGAGAGATGCTTCTCAGCTTTCCTAAAATGGTAGTATAGAAGTAAGAGGTCATGCTGATAGAATATCATACGAGCTTGTATACTTATCATTATATGGACTGTCTATCAGATGATAGTATTGATTTAATAAATTGAGGCATGTGATTGATTAAAGCTCTTAACAACAGCAGTAAGAGAACCCAAAAAAGAGCTCTTTCCTTGAGTGATTCAGCTATAAAGATTTTCTGAACACTGGAAATGGTGAGTGTTAATACTAGCAGAAAAAGCGCATTAGAATTTCAGGTTCCACGGAACAAGAAATGGTTTCACAATGCCAGACAATGACACTTACAGCTACAACAAATTTATGAGTAGAAGTTGACTAAACCAAGTGTACACATATATGTCGGTCAGAAATGTTTATGAAACAAAACTATGAAGACAACATTCTCAAATTCATGACAAGCCTTCGGCTTTCATCGCACCAAAACCTCTTGTACACACATTTTGGAACTTATATCCAAGTGCAGCAACCATGCCCCAATCAGGGATCACAGGCAGAGAGGCTGCTCAGGGTTAAATGAGGGGTCTAGGTAATCATTCATAAAGAGTGACATTTATAAAGAACATCAACAAATGTTCCACATAATCAGACCTGGATACTGAGGCATAACAGCTCTCCAAGTCTCTTTAAGGTAATCCTCGAGTAGTATTTCAAAACGACAATAATATTCTGCAGAAAATAGAGTGAGTCACATCTGAATGATGATCCAATGAAAAGAAGAAAAATGACAAAGTTCTGTAATTACATGTTGATTCTTTGAAGAGGCTCCCAGCCAAAGGTAGCTTGTCTCGCCCATAAGAAGCCGAAATTTTTTCTATTGACTATGATTGGGCCCTGTCTAAGATTTTCTGCTGCCTTCTTAACAAGTGCACCTCCTAGCATGTTTTCTCATTCTCAAATTCATCTTTGAAAGTACTTTAAAGAGGAGGCCATAGGATAACCTCCGCCGTGACCAATTGTTTCAGCAGCAACCTGCCTTAAAATATCAAAGGCATGGTTAACCAAGTTCTATGGCACATTATTGAGATATTGCAAGATGTACAACCAATTTCCTAGACGAATTCAAAGATAGTACCTGAATTGGGGAATTTCTGAGAGATGCTTATCGTCTAAAGTGGCATTACGAAGGCTTGACTGCATAGGATCATGTGGTGATAGAACTAAGTACCAGCAGATTTTCCTTAGAACCTACATATAATTAAATCACAGAATGAACAGCTGTGCCTTGAAAAACTCAGTGAAGACTTAACAAGGAAAGAGCTTCACCAGTATCCACTGCTCTGGGTTGCCCTTCACTGATGGAATCTCATATATCGCCTCATAGTATAGACAAATCTCAAGGTAATCATTGTTATGTGAGTAATACCTACATCGTTAACCACATAAATGCGAGGTAAACTGAGATGTGAGTTCAAATCCATCAAGTACAGCTGCAACGTCAGAGTTTGCAATAAAGCTAGAAAGGAAGAAGAGTATGTGCCAGATATATAAAGCCATACAAGTTCATGTTTTGAACCACAGCCTGAATACCAGGTGGCACTTGATCGGCAAAAACAAATTAGTTGAAAGAAAGTGGACACAACATTAGAAAAAGCAAAACACCAATTTGCCGTATTATGAGTCATGGTATATCCATCTCAACTCCAGAAGAGACGGAATACGATGACTCACGTATATCAGCTGGCACTTGTTCCACAATGTTTTCACCTTCTTTAGGCTTTTTCTTCTCTTTGAAAGGATTTGCATCAAACACTCGGGGGTTGATCTTCCTGGAAAGGATATGTGCACAGACATAATCCTGGCGATCTGTGCACAGACAAACCTGCAAAATCCATCGATCAAAACCAATCATTGTTGTTAGAGTAGAATTATTTTTTATTTTCTAGGTTTTATTCCTTTTTTACATATATAAGGGCATTATGGTCATATACAATTCATATTTAATATAAATATATCGTGATGGGTGTAGGGTTTCTGTTACACACAGAAACCAAGAGCCCATTTCTTGGATTTTACAATCTCTTTCTTTCTCTCTTCTTCTCCTCTCTTTTTCTTCTCTCTTCCTTCTTTTCTCTCGTTATTTTTCTGCGGGTTCTCTAATCAGCTTAGTAACATGGTATCAAAGCTCGGTTTGACTACCTGATTCCCTGGTCCTATTGCTGGTTTGAGAGTCCCCTAATAATCCTATTCCTTCTCTGGTGCGTAGCCACCTAAAGCTACAATTTTTACCTATTTTCTCTTCAAGTCCCGATACATATAAGATCAGGAGAAATCAGATTTATCAGGTTCTGTTTGTGACAATGGATTACAACACTTCCTGATCAGCAGATTCAAGGATCAGGGTATTTCGTTGATTATGCAGCCTATATTTATAAAATTTCAGCATCCCTTTGTTTGATTGATGGAGCCAATCGCATCTGATTATATGTTGGTATTGCTGTTTTATTTCTTGCACTGAAGTTTCGGCCTTTTTGATCGGTGGTAGATATATTTATATTGAGATTTTCACCATGAATGGCACTAAGTCTTCTACGGACAGTGTCAATGTTCAGATTACCACCATTAAATTGAATGGATCCTCCAATTACTTGCTATGGGCTCAAGCTGTGAAGGTTTATATTAATGCCAAAGGGAAACTTAATTATCTTACTACAGAACCCCCTGCTGAAAACTCTAAAGACTATAGTGACTGGATGAGAGAGAATGATACACTTTTGGTGTGGTTATGGAATAGCATGGAACCATCCATTGCTGCTAATGTCATGTTCCACACAACTGCCAAGGGAGTGTGGGATGATCTTATGGAGAGTTACTCACAAGACAAAAACATGTCTAGAGTCTATGAGCTCTATGAGAAGATCTTTAATTTTAAACAGGGGGACAAGTCTCTTGGAGAGTATTATAGTGCTTTGAAAGGCATGTGGGAAGAACTTAATCTTTATCAGCCCATCACTACTAATCTTGAGACACTAAAGACACAACGAGCTGAATTTCAGGTGGCCAAGTTTTTATCGGGCTTGAATGCGACTTACATATGAAGAGTCGACTTCTTCTTTGGAGAGAGTTCCTTCTATGAATGAAGCATTTTGTCGGATTCAGCGCATTGTCCCTCCGTCTTCTACATCATCTAAAGATAATTCAGCATTTGTGGCTAGTAGTGGTGTTCGTGGTCGTGGTGGATTTTCTAATAGAGGTCGTGGTTTAGGGGGAGGTCGCGGTCGTGGTGGTGGACGTAGTGGACAAAATTCTGATCGAGATAGCCGTCAGTGTATATACTGCGGCAAATCTGGTCATATTGTTGACACATGTTGGGCCAAGCATGGCAAGCCTGAGTGGGCTCAGCGATTAGTTACTGCAAATGCTGCTATGGCTGAAGGGAGTGCTGGAAATGTGTCTTACGGCGACACGAATCCATCTATCCCAAGTGGGGGTAGTTCTTCTGAGTCCGCGTCTCGGGATGATACGGTCACACAACTCATCAAGCGTGTCCAACAACTGGAGGCTTCCAATTTCTCATCTACTGCCACTCTTGCACGTACAGGTAACATGGCCTTTTTCTCTACTTTGTCTCCTGGCACCTCTTGGGTCATTGACTCGGGAGCTTCTAGTCATATGACCGGTAAGCAAGAATTATTTTCTTCCCACCATAACTCTAGTCCTTCACCTGAAGTTATTCTAGCTAATGGTTCCTCTACTCAAGTGGTTGGATCGAGGGTCATTTTCACTTACACCCTCCTTATCCTTGTCCTCCGTTTTACATGTTCCCCAACTTCCTTTGAATTTGTTATCTGTTAGTCAGTTAACTAAAAATCTTAGTTGTTCTGTTACATTTTACCCCTCCTATTGCATTTTTCAGGACCTTCAGACAAAGAAGAAGATTGGTGGAGGGCATGAACATGATGGACTCTATTATCTGGATGGTGTCTCCACTGCTGACGCCAATGGTCTAGCTGCTAGTCCTATTACCCCCTATTATGGCATTCCCGTTTAGGGCATTTATCTTTATTTAAGTTACAGCAAATAATTCCCGAGTGTAAATCAATTTCTACTCTTGAGTGTGAGGCTTGTGAACTTGGGAAACATCATCGTAGTTCTTTTCCTAGTCGTAGTGATTCTCGTGCATCTACTTTATTAGAACTTGTTCATTCAGACATCTGGGGACCTTCCCGTATTGCTAACAGAAATGGTTTTAAGTACTTTGTTACTTTTGTGGATGATTATTCTCGTCTAACATGGCTCTATATGCTTCATGATCGTTCTGAATTTTTACATGTTTTTCAATTATTTCATCGTGAAGTTACTAATCAGTTTAATACATCCCTTAAAATTTTGCGAACAGATAATGCTCTAGAATACTCACAAAAATCAATTTCTTTGTTTTGTTCTAGTCTTGGCATTATACATCAAACAAGTTGTACTTATACCCCTCAGCAGAATGGTGTGGCCGAGAGAAAGAACCGTCACCTTCTAGAAGTTGCTCGTTCACTCTTGTTACATATGCATGTCCCAAAATCATTTTGGAGTGATGCTGTCCTTACTGCTTGTTACCTCATAAATCGTATGCCTTCCACTGTCCTCAATCAACAGTCACCAATCAGTATTGTATTTCCTGACAAGCCGTTATTTCCTCTTACCCCGCGTGTCTTTGGGTGTGTCTGCTTTGTCCATAATCTACGACCTGGTGCTGATAAACTATCCCCTCGTGCTACTAAATGTGTTTTTCTCGGGTATTCACGTACTCAAAAGGGATATCGGTGTTATGATCCTATGACTTGTACTCAATATGTCAGTGCTGACGTTACTTTTTTTCGAGGGCACACCATACTATTCTACTGAGGGTAAAGAGTTTTCAACTGACATTGTAGCTGATCCTCCTATTCCACAACTTATTCCCTTAGATTCTGTTAGTCCTTCCGTACCTCCTCCCTTGCAGGTATATCAGCGGCGAAAGCAGTCTACGGCACCACCGGTCTCCAGCTCTTCCGTGCCCTCCGTTCAATCTCCCTCCTTGTCTCCTGGTCCGGACGATCTTCCGATTGCCCTTCGCAAAGGTACTCGTTCTTGTACACAAAAATCCTCTTTTGCTTACCCTATCGAGCGTTATGTGTCTCTTTCACATCTTCCTCCTCCATTACATGACTTTGCTCTATCATTACATACTCACACAATTCCTACTTCTACCACTGAGGCCTTGTCTCATCTCGAGTGGAAGAGAGCTATGGATGTAGAAATGGAAGCTTTGGTGTCCCGCCAAACGTGGTCTTTGGTTGATCTTCCTCTTGGGAAAGATGTGGTGAAGTGTCGTTGGGTGTACACTATCAAGTATAACCCGGATGGCTCAGTTGAGCGTCTCAAAGCTCGGCTCGTTGCTAAAGGTTTTACTCAAACTTATGGAGTGGATTATTTTGAGACTTTTTCCCCCGTGGCACGTCTCAATTCTGTTCGTGTTATTATTTCTCTTGCTGTGAATTTTGATTGGCCATTATATCAATTGGATGTCAAGAATGCTTTTCTTTATGGTGATTTGTCTGAAGAAGTATATATGGAGCAACCTCCTGGGTATGTTGCCCAGGGGGAGGATCGCAGTAAAGTATGCCGGCTACATAAAGCCATTTATGGGTTGAAACAATCTCCTAGAGCATGGTTTGAGAAATTCAGTTCAGTGATTTCCAAGTGTGGTTTTCACCAATGTTATTCTGATCATTCTGTTTTTGTTCGCAAGAAGGAGTCGGGAGTGGTCATTCTTGTTGTTTATGTGGATGATATAATTGTCTCTGGTAGTGATGCGACCGGAATTTCTGAGGTTAAATCTTTTCTTCAACAGCAATTTCAGATTAAAGACTTGGGAGCTCTTAGGTATTTTCTAGGTATTGAAGTTTTACGAAGTAGGAAAGGTATTAATTTGTCTCAGCGAAAGTATGTTCTTGATCTTTTATCTGAGACTGGTACACTAGCTTCGAAGCCAGTTGATACTCCTATGGATCCAAATCAAAAGTTTGGAGTTGATGATGGAGATGATACTGAAGATAAACATCGGTATCGGCGTCTAGTTGGGAAACTAATTTATCTTACTGTTACACGTCCCGATATTTCTTTTGCTGTTAGTGTGGTGAGTCAGTTTATGGAATCACCCAAGAAGGCTCATTGGGATGCTGTTTGTCGCATTCTTCGATATCTTAAAGGCTCTCCTGGTAAGGGACTGATTTATAAACCGAATGGTTCTTCCACCTTAGTTGGCTATTCTGATGCTGATTGGGCTGGGTCAAAGTGTGATCGGCGGTCTACGACTGGGTATTGCACCTTTCTTGGTGGTAATTTGGTTACTTGGAGAAGCAAAAAACAGACTACCATTGCCAGATCTAGTGCGGAGGCTAAATATCGTGCTATGGCACAAACTGTGGCTGAATTGCTGTGGTTGAAATCTCTTCTCCAGGAGCTTGGATTTTCTATTAATCATCCTATTGATATGATGTGTGATAATCAGGCAGCTATTTATATTGCTGGAAATCCTGTTTTTCAAGAGCGAACTAAGCATATAGAAGTTGACTGTCACTTTGTTCGTGATGCTGTGAAGCAGAAGTTGGTTGCCACTCCTTACGTTGCCTCTAGAGATCAGTTTGCTGATATGTTCACTAAAGCGTTGTTTCGTCCTGCCTTTGTTGCTGGTTGTTCCAAGCTAGGCATGGGTGACCTATATGCTCCAGCTTGAGGGGGAGTGTTAGAGTAGAATTATTTTTTATTTTCTAGGTTTTATTCCTTTTTTACATATATAAGGGCATTATGGTCATATACAATTCATATTTAATATAAATATATCGTGATGGGTGTAGGGTTTCTGTTACACACAGAAACCAAGAGCCCCTTTCTTGGATTTTACAATCTCTTTCTTTCTCTCTTCTTCTCTTCTCTTTTTCTTCTCTCTTCCTTCTTTTCTCTCGTTATTTTTCTGCGGGTTCTCTAATCAGCTTAGTAACAATTGTAATAGTGCATAAACAGTTAAAAGCAATACAAAAAACCCCTACTTGTTAAAAAATAATGGCAATTTACTCCGTCTTTGCTGTTGCTCCAAAAGTTTCTACCTGCATTTCAAACCCATCATAGGAATGTTGGACAACGAAAAACCAATTACAAGATCAGTGACAACAGTCAACTTCTAGTTACCCCGATTTCTTGCATCAAATCAGTAGCTTCTGCTATAAGACCTTGTTCTTCCTTTCTATTGCAAGTTTCTTGATCAACCGTGCTCTCTCGATTTCGACATATATCTGCATTACGAAACTAGCTAAGAAACCGCGAAACAAAAGCAGATAGCTGATGAACATAAGTTGCAACAGAGTTTAATCTCACAAATTCACCTTCCCAGTGGCGACAGAGTCAAGTGTCTTAATAAGCTCTTTCTTGGTCTCAAGATCAGGTGTCTGGTCAACATATTGCATAGCCTGCTGCACCATTGCTGTCACAGCCTGGCAATAAAAAAACAGCGACATGTAGGTCACTAGCCAATCAAGTGAATGACTTGATAATGACTAGATCACAATTAAAACTTAGATTTGAACTATTGATTAACAGCACGGAAAATTTGTCACTCTAGAATGAAAATATGGTCAAAAAAGGAATCAAAAGGGACAATAGCAAGGTACAATACAAATACAGGTATCTCTATAAAGAGGATCCCAGCCGTTTGAAAACTTGCAAACAGCACAAGCACTATAAAATCTCCATAAAGGACATATCATGAAATGTATCCTGAACTAGACATGAAAAAAAAGTAACGCGATTCATAAATGAATAGGAGAATAAAAAGTGAAAATTTGGGGCAATCACGGGAGAGAATCCAGAAACACAAGGTGAGAAACTGAAGAGGATTCCACAATACTAGATTCTAAAGGATTCCACCATACTTGATTCTAGAGCACAAGCACCAGGCCTGAGAACTTGCATCCCAACAGATTGCCTAGAGCCAATTCTCATGTAGATATGCCAAGCACATTCGTTTTTTAGATAGTTATACATAGATGACATGTCACAGCTACACAAAACGACAGTTCATGATCTAATCAGTACACATATGGGAGGCAATCCCAGCAATATAAAATCTAACCCTTAAGGTAAAGGTTGTTAGGATGGATCCTAAATGATTGAAATTGGACCATACTTTGGATCAATGATCATAAGACTCTACAGAAAATTAAGGTCTAAATTGATAGATTCTTGATCTTCTTTCTGTACTAACACCTGTATGTTATCTTGGAAAAGAGGGAATGAAGCTCAAAAGCAGAAGACAAAAACATGAGTATCACCACAGCAGAAGCACATCAGTGAAGAAGCTCTCGTACCTCATAAAGAAAGTTAACTAGAGAAGCATCTGGGGCATAAGTAAAGAAGAGAATAAAGCAAACACAAAACCAGATGATGGCAGTGAAAAGAAGAAGACAGGAGGACGAAAAAAATAGAAAAAATAAAGAGCTATACACTATTACGTAAAAAAGAATTCCGTCCCCAGCCATAAACGATGCTGGCCGTACAAAGGTGTTGGCATTGTGCTGCACTGCTGTTTGTGGAGGCACAGAAGACCTTCCATTTACCCCAACCCAAGCTCTCATGAGGGTAGAGCCCACTTCCAACTCCAGCAATAAAAGGTTATTCTTACCACCGGTATAAAGAATCGCTCCTCCGGCACCCAATCTCAATTTCTTGTCTCCCAGGTTTCTTTATTATGTAAAAAGAATCCATCCCTATACAAGATAATTCAAATCCTAAAACAGATCTATTGACCGGAACAAGAACAAAGAGGAGCACCAAGTACTGAATTCACCAAACCCTGAAAACTTCTACCTATTGAGTTTGCTGTCTCCTCCAGAGCTAAGGGGTTATGGTGGAAACTGACTTTGTACTATTTAGGTGATGAAGACTCGCCGATATCAAGCAATTTCACTTCATAAGTAAACACAAGTACCCTTCCAGAAAGGATATCACCAGGCCATCCCTTCGCTGTTTACATATTTTTCTTTGTATACATACATTATACGTACAAAGGCGCAACCATTAGGCTTCCGCAGGAACATCATCAACCCCAACCTTCCCTTCATTAGAGGAAAAAGAAGAAGAAGAAGTAACCAGGCAGGCGAATCAGGCATCAGAAATTGGACAATTGCTAGTAAAGGACGATTCGATCAGAAGAAGAAGAACTAACCAATCTCGATCCGCTCCTAGATATCGGAAGGCGAGCTCGAGGAATCGGCAAGAAGTCTGCCAGCACCCATCGCTTTTTTCCGTACGAGAGAGGACTCGGTGAACCCCCACCCCCCTCCCTCAGTCGCGAATACTTCTGCTCTTTCTTCCGTTTCCTCTCTCTCTCTCTCCTTCTCTGAACGCAACTGATGATGAGAGAGAAAACGAAACGGTTAACAAAAAGTTGAGGGGAATAAAAAAAAGAGAAAAGAGGAAGAAAAGAAAGAATGAATAATGAACGAGGGAATGGGAAGAGAAAAATGGGAGGAGATCCGAAACACCTTCTATCTCTGTGATCCTCCCCCCCACTGGCCCAGACTCCGACCTCTCTCCCTCCGACCTCCCTCCGGGCCTCCACTTCCAAGCGGATCCCCCCATCACCACCTCCACCCCTACGTCGCGAATCATTGCCTTAAACGCAACAGGTCCGGTGATTGTCTAAGGGACGGGCATCCAGAAATCTCGAAAGATC